AAACTAATAAAAAAATGTTGCAAAATATTAGCAAGAAGACTTGCGAAAATAAACGACACAGCTTGCAGATTTTTAAGCTTCTTAATATAAGCATAGGGCTAGTTTGATTATGGTCTTTATTTTTATATTTTTAAAATAATTTTGTAGAATAAATTATTAGAATAAGTTTCAGAAAAAAAAATTGGTTTGCATTATTATTCTAAAAAACAACTTAAAGTTGTATAATAAAAGGTGAAAGAATTATTTACATTATTGACATAATTGTCATTAATGCAAGTTAAAATTAAACTAATCATTGAACTGATCGTGGCAGTAGTTTAAGGATCAGTGGTCCAACTAAGGGTTGACTTGGAGTTAAATTGACCATAATTAAAATAAAGTATGTTAATTTAAATATATAAAAATATTCATATTTAAGTATGAAAAACAATAATATTCAAATAAAAAAGTCCTTACTTTTCAAGTAAGTGAAAAATATATCCATAAAATTTTATACTCTCTCTATTCAAAAATGTAAGTTATTTTTTGAGGAGTTGAATGTTTAAAAGTGTAAGACATTTTTAGTCTTTTGAGGTGTAATCATTGCACTTTTCTCAAAAATATCCTTATTGATAATGACTTTATATTTATTATAGAGTATTTAATAGGGATAAATATGAAAAGATGTGATTAGTTTGAAAGTAGGTAACTATTTTATTGGGAGTAAAATTCAGTTAAAATACCTTACATTTTTAAATGGAGGGAGTACGTGTCTTATGCAATTATTAATTATAAGTTTTTAATAATAATAAAATATAACCAAATCAGTCTGGTGACTAGTTCACTCGAATTACTAGTCCAATCAGTTAGTCCGATTTTTTGTACGATGAATTAATGCAAACCTTATATTCCCCCCCCCCTCTTTTCTCTAATTTTGCAAAACAAAATGTAATAAAATATCAAAAAGACATTATAAAGGTTGTTCGATTCTATTTTATGTTTTTATGTTCTTAAAACCATTATATATGTAGAGTAATGTTTTAGATCAAGTTTTGAAGACCAGAAAAGAAATCTATTTGAATCATTATTTTTTAAAAAATATCTAAACCAATAAAATAAAGGGTAAAATAATTATTTATTTAATTAATATAATTTTCGTTAATGAAAACATGATGGTTTCTGCCTTTTTCCTAATTTTATTTAGTGAAAAGTAACAAAACCAAAAAAAAAAGTCACAATTTTTTAGTTTTTCATAACAACTTTTAATTTTTTTTATTTTTTAAAACATATAACAAAAAAACAAATTTTTAAATAGTTTTTTTTTCAAAACAAATAACTGCTAAGGTAATCAAACGGGCTTATAATTTTTTAATTTAAAAAACAACTTTTAACTATTTTTTCAGAACAAATAATAAAAAACACATTTTAAATATTTTTTTATTTTTTAAAACAAAAACCTATTATGAAAACAATAAATTAAACATGCCCATATCTTCCTTATTAGTTCTAAATAACATTATTCTGTATTAATTAATCAATTAACTACGTCACCAAGGCCCACTACATTGGAAGAAGTCAAAATTCATAGCGTCGAAGAGTCACTTTATTGACAGATATAGCAAAGAACAAATGTTTCACAAAAATGGCAAAATGCCTTTTGTAAATGTTGAAATTTGCTGCCATCATGATTTTATTTTTCAACGTAATCAAGCAACCTAAGGTTTTCCAGTCAAACGAACTACTCTTGATTATTAAAAGTTAAAACAGATTTCAATTTCTTTTATTTCTTTTTTTTTTTTTGGTATGACCATTTTTTGTCCTTTATAGTTGTGACATTAATACATTGCAGAGAATTAAAAAAAAAAAGGAATAAAGTTTTTTTTAAAACTCTACACATGCAAGTCAATTGGTTTATTTTGATAATTTTATAATAATTTTTTAAGTTAAAAAAATGAAAAAAATAGGGAATTTAGGCCTGTTTAATATGTTCCCATTTTTTTGTTTTTAAATGTTGTTTTTTGATATAGTTTTTAGAATTATTTTTAGAACAAAACAAAAAAAATATGTTTGATTATTTTAATTTGAAAATTAAAAGAATCGGATGATAGTAGTAGTTGTTCATCATGGTGGCTAATGATAACGATGTTGATCATAGATGACAATAGTTTCCTCTAAAGTGTGCTTTGAAAATAAAAAAATTGAAGAAAATAATTTTATTTTGAAAATATTTAAATTCAAAACACACAACTAAGCATTTTTTTTATTTTTAAAAATAAAAAAATGTTTGAAAAAAATAAACAGCCTTTAATTTCTCTATTTTAAAATAATTATTGCCCACAGCCTCACACTATTAAGAAATTTATTATAAATAATTTATATTATAGAAAAGTTTAATAGTATCAGACTAAACTATTTTTATATTAAATATCATAATATTATAGCATTCAGGCTCTTTCTATCATTTTATTTATCAATAAAGGGTTAGATGGTACGAAGACATGTAATTATTTCCCCCCAAAATAATGTAAGTTGACAAAAGTGGGTGTAAATTAGACAAAATTTACACATTTTCCATATGCGGGTTCAAGTCTCTCACTAATTAGTACGTGGCCAGATCTTGACTTTATGTGCATGCACGTGTTTTTTGAATTTTGTGTTGCTCTTGCTCAATATAATCTAAGAAGGAACCAACATGCACTCGACTGTCGACGTATCAGGCCAAAAAAAAAAAAACTTGACTGTCGACGTAAGAAGTTAGTAGAATTAGTCGTCAAATTTAATTTGATATCATTGAATAATTTCATTAAAAATAGTATATAATTTAAATACAAATATATAACTTTTTTGCCAAAAAAAACAAATATATAACTTAATATCAACGCTCGTAGTTATCCATAGATATTATGGGAAGAGAAGAGCATTAGATATACCCTTACTGTGTGTTGAAGGCTACAAAGTCAGAATTACCTAATTTAATATACACGCACTAATACAATATAACATAATATAATACAATATATATACACACACACACATTTCCATTTGATTCACATGGAGTATATATATAATCCGCTTTCCAAGCATGTAAATCAATAGCCTCTTTGTTCAAGACATGGCCTATGTCTTATAATCGGTTCTACACACCAAAATAGAAGAGGGAGTTGTGTTAAGTTCTCAACAGATAATGTAAAATTTTATCAAATTTCACATCAATATGAATAGTAGATTTTTTGTTGATAAAAAATATCCAACAAAATTAAAGAAAGGTTTTTATCAAACTGCTATATAACCAATTATATTATATGATAATAAATGTTATTTAAGTTTTAAAGGGACAACAAAAATATAAAATTTTAGTAACTAGTAGATAAGAATATTTAAATGGATGTGTAAGGATACCGAAGAAATATAAAATGTCTAATGAACATATGTGTGTGTGTGTAAGAAAAAGTGGCTATGACATTGATTGAGGAAAAAAAAAAAATAGGGCATGCATGGACATGTACAAGGAAAGACAAGCACGACAATTATGAAAGGTGGAATAAATAATCGTGAATTTTGTAAAAAGGGATAGAAGAAACTCATACAAGATAAAACACTTTATGAAGCTATTAAACGAAACCTTTCAATTAGCAATATACTAAAATGTGTGGCTATTGATAGATAAGCTGATTCCACCTAATAGTAATTAGTGGGATAAGAATTGTTGTTATTCAAACCTAATGATCTGTTTAATTACTTGATGAAAAAGACCCCAATTATTTTAATTAATTATAAAAGGCGCAATCCAAATAGACAAAAAGAAAACGTGATGGTATGATTGTCAATTCCTTGTGTTAGCTAGTAAACCTGAGTTTTCTCATCGGACAATTTCAGTGCCAATATCATTATAATATAAAGAATGCAAAGATATATATTATTAACAAACATAAAATAGTCATAATGCATCCCATCTGTCTTATTTTTAATGTTAATAAGTAACGTGTGAGATTAAACCTTATAATCTAGCACTGATAAGGGGCAAACAGTATGCCTTATCGCCCTATCTCAAAATTCAATTTGCATAAACCTATGGTATTTATTTTAATTTACTATTTAATATAAAATATAAAAAGTGCATTGCATAAATATATAGCAGATCTTATCCTGAGGTTGAGCTATAAGATAAGACCAAACACTACAAGTTGGTTTCATATAATGGTGCCTCTACAATTTCAGCCACTATAGCTAACACTGCATGTGATATGTCGCCTTCTCGTTGGATTTTTTTTTTTTTTAAATTAGGGAGGCGAGCACTAATGGTATAAAGTTGTAAGTAGGGTTGAACCCATAACTTTCTATTTAAAGAAAAGCTTACAAAGCTACTAGACTATAAGGTCATTGGCAGTCTTCTATATTAATATCATTACTTGCATACACGTGTATATATAAGTGAAAATATTCAACATCAATAAAGAAGAATCACTCTAGCTTTTATGGTATTTTTTTCTGCAAAAGAATAAAAATGATTTGTATATATAAATGATTTGTAAAAACATCTCTGCATAAAAGTCTAACACAATATTAATCCACAATTTTGTTAAGTTTACTGGAAAGCTAAACCTAAAAGGATTAAAGGGTATTTTTATCTCTTCAATATTTGAAAAATGATACAGTGACTAGGTAAAAAATTTAAGTTCAACAATTAGTTGAAGTGAAAATGGTAGAAAATAATATAAAAAAATTATAAAAAAAATACTCATAAAATTACATATAAGTGCCTTATAAAAAAATTAATATCATTTAAATCCCTTAAATTACATATGAAAAACAGGATATAAATTTAATTTCTTACCCACATAAAAGGCAAAAATCTAATTTTGACCACCATTATTTTAGAGACTTAATTGATGTTAATTTTCTTATAGGATATTTATTTTAAATTTTATAAGTCTTTTTTTATAATTTTGTAGATCATTTTTGTATTTTTTTAATAAACTAATGGTTAAAGTTAACTTTTTTAGTGACAAAATGTCTAATGTATTATTTTTAAATATTGAAAGAAAAAAATTATATCACACAAAAGTTTAGAGTACTGATAAGATAGGATAGTTGGAAGACAAAAATATCCTTCGACCTAACTTAAACGGATAAAACTAAGACACTGACTCAAATTTGGAGAAAAATATAACAAGTCCTTTATCTTGATGCATGCGAGTCGATCAATGTTGTAAGGGTGAGATAGAGATCAGAACTTGATGAAGAAGTCATAAATATGAGCGGAAATGTTGTGAGCAACTTCTTGGTTATTGAAATGAGCGACACGTGGCTGCACCACCACTTGTTCCAAATTTGGCACGTCTTCCTTGAAACGACCACTCTGAATATAGTCCTTCGTGCCAAGCGAAGTGTACACAGAGTCCAACTCTCCTGTTATGAACTTCACTGGCACTTTCACTTTCACTCCTGTCCATGCTGCTGTCAATTCCCAGTTCCTGATGCAATTGCCTCATACGTAAGAAATCTTTCCACTTAACTTTCTTTTTAAAAAAAAAAAAACCAAAGAAAATTAATCATTTTTAGTTGGCGTGATTTTGAGTTTGACTCAGTTAAACTTAAAACTCTGTTTAAAATTTAACTCGTCCAACTCAGTTACTTAATTTGTTAGTCATTGTGTTTTAATTAGGAACTGAACCGAATCATAAAGTGTAGGGATCAACAAATTAAAGGGCTTAAACTTGAGAGACTGTGTTGCCTCAAATTAAACTTCATGGATTAAGTTCTAAGTTTTGTAACCGAGTCAAAACTACCAAAATAAATAACAAGTCATTTTCCTATAACCATATGAAGTAGGCTCAGTCAACAGCAAAAAAAATATTTCCTCCGAGATATTGAAAGCAAATTAGTATATCTCTTCCAACTAAATTATTATATAGATAAGGGCTGATATTTGAATAACAAGTCATTGAATAAAGTTATCTAAGATCCCATTCAAAGGACCACCCTATAATTAGTTTGTTAAAAAGGTCTTGTGTGAGTATACATGTAAAATACTTGAATATATTAAAATACCTATATAACCAAACCGACTCGAACATCTCGAGTTTATCTTGACCTGAATATATAAATTGTTAAATATATTTTTATTTTATTTTATTTTATTTAGCTAATTTTAATTTTTATCTTATTTTATTATTATATTAATAATAATAAAATATTTTAAGTATTCGAGCTAAGTCCATTCAGATTCTAGCTTGATCCAAATTTCTTTGAGCTTATTCAGACAACTTGAATAAGCCCAAAGTAATAAACAAGATTTTGTTAACTTTCAAACATTGCCTTAAGATTTTTTGGATTTTTCTTATTTCATGTCTGGAGTCTAAAAATTTCTCTAGTAAGTAGTTTGAATCAATTTTTCTGCTCATTTTTAAAAAAAAATTATTGGGACTTAATTATCATTAATTTTCTTAAGATTTTATTATCATTCTTTATTTAAAAAAAAATTAGTTGAACTGGTTGATTTGTTGTAATTAATTGATAAATTTATTTTGTATGGATCTATTACTAATATACAAGTGAATAAATAAAGAACAATATGAACAAACCGGTCGAAATTTCTGTAGTAGTTCAAGCCTCCAGTGAAACCAGACTTGTCAAACTTAGAAGCATAGAAACGAAGGTCGTCTTGGGAGAGCCAAGAAGGCAAGGTAGTTGGTGATGATGATGAGTCAGCATTTGATGAATTGTATCCAAACCCTTCTTTTGGAAGGATTGGTGGGCCAGGTTTGCGACTTGAAAGCACATTCGTCAGTACACGTTCGCTTCCAATTTTAGCTATCTCATCTTCCGCCTTCCCCGCCTCCTATATCCCATTTAAAGCCACGCTATTTATTACTAGCTACATCAACAAACTGTACTCCGGACAATGAATATAATATCTGATCAACAAATGTTTATCCGGTTTTAAAGAATTTGACTCATAATTTATAAAGTCTTTAGATCATATCTTACTATCAATGTGAGGATATTATTGATAGATAATTTGTAAATGTTTCTGAAAAGCGCTACTAAAATTCAACTCGCTTAAACTTTTTTTCACTATATATTTTTCACCCTTAATCCTTTTTTGAGGGGCATTACGCATCTTTTATTGAAAGGTAGGGTAATATCCTTCCTAAATAATTTTTTTCAGGAGCAAAATTTCTCTTCCATTAAAAACTCATCATCTTTCTTATTATCTATTGATGTGGGATAGTTGTGTATCCACATACAATAATAATAATGCATTCTTACCCATTTGGACCATTTGATGTGGGTCAAAGGGGCTAAAAGTGCAAAAATCGGGCATGATTCTAGTAATAAAATTACTGCAAAATGGGTCAAAATACCATTTACTACTATCTGTGAGTCCCACAATTATTCAATATTAACAAATAATAGAAAAAGATGATGATTTTATGACAAACTGATATTTTGCTTTTGAAAATATTGTTCAGCGAGGATGTTAAACCCACCCTTTAGTGCAAAGTATTTAATGCTCCTTAAAAAAATGTAGGAAAAAATGATCTTTAACCCAAAAATATAATATAATATAATATAATATAACTATATATATATATATATAATCTATAAGAATGTATGCTATTCAGAACTTTGTATACAACAACATGCCTTAAATAACATCTGTAGTTGTGATATATGCACACAAGAGACTCATGTCATGGCCCTTTTTTCATCAAGTATATCATAACTAAACTGTGGGAGTAATATTATTGCACAGTCCATGTTACATATATAAATTGAAACAAGAATACAAAGTTAAACAGTGTAACGAGTGGTTGATGAAAGGGGACAAGTATAGGAACCATGCATGAAACCCAAGTTTTCAATTTTTTATTTGTATGTGTTATATTGTACTTAAATGGCTTATCCAAAATTTATGCAAATTTTATACTTTTCAATTTGGACTTTTGCATAATTAAATCCTCGCTGAGTGTGCAAACTAATTAAATTTCTAAAACATAGCAATTAACATTTTATGTGATGTTTGTTAATTGATATTAGTGATATACAAGGGAACAAAGTATAAATCATTTACAACAACTTATTTGACCGCGTTCATCCAGTCACGAGCTATATGTAAAATTTTCAGCTAACTTAAAACTTAAGTTAGCTTATAAAAGATGAACCTAGACTTTGTCCAATTTTATTTTCTACATTCACACATTTAAAAAAAAATAATATGCAAATTAATTCAGCATTGCATTCTCATGTCTCTTTTCTGTCTGTCTCTGCACTGTGCGGATTCGCAAATCAAATGAGATAGCTAGCAAGCGTTAATTTATAGATCTGGAGAAATTAGCAAGCTAAGGTAATTAGACGAAGAATAAGAAGAAGAAGAAGATCGAAGAAGAACCTGGAATCTGCAGATATAGTAATCGTCTCCATACAAAGCTCGGAATGCATCAAGAGGCTTGACTCGTGGATTTCTGGGCATGAGAGGCACACTGAGACACACATAGGCCTTCACTTTCTCAGGACGAAACATGCAGAGGTACCATCCAATGATAGCTCCCCAATCGTGAGCCACGAGGAACACCTGATCCACGCCCAGCGAATCGATGAGAGCCACGACATCGCCGACGATGTGAAAGCAGGTGTAGCTGGAGACGGAAGACGGCGCCTCCGTGTCGCCGAAGCCGCGGAGATCCGGCGCGACGGCTCGGAAACCAAGGGAACTGAGGGACAGGATCTGGTGGCGCCAGGTGTACCAGAGCTCCGGGAAGCCATGGAGGAACAACACAACAGGACCTTCTCCTTTCTCGGCGACGTGCATTTTGATGCCGTTAACTTCGACGGTTCTGTGTTGAATTCCTTCCATGTTGGTGTTGCTCTGTGATTATCAGTACGTTGATGGGCCAACAATGGTTAGAGAAGAAAACCTGTGCCGCTGAAGAACGTTGACAGAAAGGAAGAATTTGTTAAATGGCAACGCATGTTCACGAGGGAAGAGCAGGACGGTGTTATTGCTAATGAAGTACTGTAATTAATAGCATTTTTCCCCTCCTTTCTGGGCCATATGATACTTAATCCTAGTATTTAATATTCTGTACATCTTAAATTATAAAATAATTTTAAAAGTATTTTATTATTATAAAATACTCATTTCATTTTAAATTATAAAATACTTTTAAATAAAATTTTATATACCAATAAAATTCATTAAATACACTTTACAACTTTACTTTTTTAAGACAAAAATATAAATTTTCAAAAATATCCTTCATTTTTGGCCAAAAAAAATGCCTTTCATTTAATACTGCATTGATAAAAGAATAATAAAGAGAAAATATATGGGATGGATAATATTAAAAAAGTATAATTAATGAAATATTATTTTTATTAAAGTGTCTTATATTTTGAAACGTTGAATATGCCTTAAAAGTTTATTGTATTTTGGAATGAAGGGAGTATAAGCTAATTTGAAAAAATAAAATTTTTTTAATAATTTTTTTAATGTTATCTTTAAGTTGAAAGAAAATTGAGATGATATTATAGTGTACTGATTGAGGATTCATTTGGTTTCAGTTCAATTTATCAAAAGGATTTTTAAAATGGATTTTGAATCCAAATGTTGTTTAGTTTTCAATCTTTTCAAAGAAGTTCATTTAAAAAAGTCATTTCCAAATGTGATTGAATGTGCTTTTGGCTAATTAAAATAATAAAACTTTTAAAAAGTAGATTGAAAAGTGAAATGTTATTTAATTATACTACCCTAAGTTTAATCTCTTATTTTTAAAAAAATAATTAATTTATTAAAAATATAATTATTATTTAAATAATAATAATTAGATATCAAGTTTTTAACATTATAAATTGAATAATTAATCATGTTAGCATTATAGGTCAAATTTTATGTTATTTAAAATCTTTATCACATTTTTTAAATATTTCAAATATAGTACATTTGTATAATAAAAATTACAAATCATCATAAATTAATATCTTTTTTAATAATTATACATTCAAAAGCACATTTTATTATCATAACCCAAATAATTTTTAGTTTACCAAACTAACTTTTGAAAAAAATATATTCAAATATAAATTTTATTACAACAATTGACTTTTACTAAATAAACTTTCAGCAAATGAACTTTTAGTAAAATAAAAACTAAACACACACTAAGTGTGTAAGATATTTTTAAAAGTTTATAGATTTGTCTTGAAAATATAAATTTATAAAGTATCATTATTAAGCTTTATTAGCGTGTATAATCTTGTCTCAAATTATCTTATAATTTAGGATAGAATGAGTCTAATACTCCATCCAATCCCTATTATAACGCAACTTTAATCATCTCATTGGAATTAAGAAAATGTAGTTAAGTCATTAACTTTATTTGAAAATAAAAAATATTTTTAATTTTACCTATACTTAAATGAATTCTTTTTTTCAAAACTTGCATTTAATTTTCTATCATAGCTAATGAATTTAAATAGGGGTACCATTGAAAAAATAATAATTAATACATCACCTAGTTTTTTATATCAAGGACTAAATAATTCTTCTGAAAAATGTTCTATAATGGGCGCTGGAATAATATGCATATTACTTACTGGCTCCTTTGTTTCTTAGGCTTGAATGTCTTGATGAGAGCGAGAGATCAATTGAAATAAGAAAGAGATTTAATAAAATGAAATAAAAAACAATATGTTTGATATATACTCCCTCTCATCCTATTTGTAGAGTAGAGATAGAAGTTTTTTTTTTATTCTATTTATAAGTCACTTTGTTAAATTTTCATCACAAACTTTTCAATTTACCTTCTATTGAATGTTGGAGAAAAAAAATATCGTCAAGGAGTACATATTGAAAGTTAAAAAATTATTAAATTTTTAAATAGAGTTTAGGAGTTTAAAATTTTTCTTAGTTTTGATTAAACATATTGAAAGTAATTTATGAATGAAATCAAAAGAGTACATAAGGAAAGAAATCTTACTATCAATTGGATGACTATATTAAGAGGCAATCTGGAAATATTTTTAAGCATTCATTAAACTCATAATCATATCTTGCAAGGTTCTTATACCTAATGCAAATAATTGTATAATACTCTTTCTGTTCCAATCAATAAGATCTTTTTATAAAATTACATATATCAATAAAATTTGTTAATATTGTTTACAATTTTAATTCTATGATCTCCAAAATATTCTTCATTAATAGGAGTTTGGGAAATAAATATATTTAACGAGTGAAATAATAAGGGGAATTATTGAGATAATATCATTAACGAAGCTTTATCTTTTTAAAAATATCATAAATTTTGGGATATCAAATCACCTTAAAAAAATATTTTATAAGATGGGATGGAGGGAGTATAACATGAGAGAAAATCACATATATCTCATGTAAGTAAATTAATTATCAACAGGTTCATTGAATTTGAGTTATCACTTACTCCCTCCATTCTTAAATATATATAATCCAATTTTAATCAACTCACATAATTTAAAAAAGTTAGTTATTAATCCTAATAATTATATCTAAAATTAAAAGGTTTAGACTAAAATGTCTTTGTAATTAGTGTTTACCTTTTTCCTCTAATTTAATGATATTATCCCTTTATAAGGGATAATTTAAAAAAAAATGATAAATGCTTCTTGAAATGTATTGTTTCACTTACAAAAAATAATGAAACACATTCCCTCCTTTTTCTATTATTAGACATCTATGGTTATATTATCAGAATTAGGAAGAAGTGATTAAATCATTAATTTTGTCTAACAATAAAATAACTTTGAATCTTATAATCTCTGTTTAAATAAAAAAATTTTAAATTTACATTACATTATCTATAATAGTTAATGAGTTTAAATAGAGATGATAATAAAAAATATAATTAATGTCTCATTAAGTGTCTTATATTAAATATTAAAAAAATTTCAAAAGGTTCCTTATAATAAGGATCAAAATAGTATGATATTTTCTCTTTCAATAAAAAACACTGAAAGAGTATGAATATTAATAATAGATTAAAGGAGACTTGGGATTATGCTAAACCACAATCTGGAAAAGTGTCTAATAAAATATTTTTAAATTAATATTTTAAAACTCAATTTGTTCAATTTTTTCATGTATTACCAATTCGTGTTTCAATATTTACAAGTAATAGTTCAAATACTAATAACAATGTAACCATAATTAATTAAAGCTCATAAAAATATTTGAAAAATAAATTTATAACATATCTATTTTTTATCTAACATAATATTAATAACTTGTCAAAATTTAAGAAACAAGTTTGGTTTTAAAAATTAATATTTTTTTTATATATTAACAAGTTATGTTTAAATTTTTACAAGTGATAGTTCAAATCTTAATAACAACGTATCCATGATTAATCAAAACCTATAAAAATGCTTAAAAAATAAATTTATAATATATATTTTTTATTTAGTATAATATTGATAATCTATCAATATTGAAGAAACAAGTTGACAAAAAATAAATAAGTTCAGTTTTAAAAATTTGCTACTTTTTTAATATATTTACAATATGTTTGGATGTTTATAAGTAATTGTTCAGGTAATAATAATATGCGTCCATGATTATGGGCCCATTTCTTTAAGATTAGAAAATATGTAATTTTTAGATAGTTTAGATATTTTATTAAAAGAGATTTATTTTATAAAAATTTTACAAAAAGTAGACATGACTTTATATTTGGTTACAATAATAAAAAAATAATTATTACTTAATTATTTTTAAATTTTATGATATCTTCTTTGATTTTTATTTTATAAAAATGATTTATCACTATATTATTTTAAAATTTTATGATATCTTTGCATATACCACCTCTTTAAAACACTTTCTCTTATCAACCTCATTAGATTATTTTCAAAAGCTACTCAAAGTAGCTTCTTAAAATAATCAAAAATATATTTTTGAATTCTAATTATTTTTAAAAATTTAAACAAATGTAATAAAAACTCAAAAAAATAATTGATTTTTTCATGAAATAAACTAAAACAAACTAGCTGTACCAGCAACTCATAAATGCTTGATAACAAAAGTTAAAAATATACATTATACTTTGCAATACTTAACTAAAATATTTTTGGTGTTTTAATGGTAAAAATTTTTTGGAACAACTAAATGGTGAAGGGTTCAAATTCACTATGAATTTTAAAAAATATAACTTTAAATCCCTACACTTTACTTAAATTTTGCTATAAATTTGTATATTTTTTTAATATTTTAAGTCTTTACACTTTTATTTTTTGATGTTCTAAGTCCCTCTATAAGAAGTGTTATAAGAACTTAAAACACTAAAAAATAAAAGTATAAGGACTAAAAATATAAAAAAAATACAAAGATCTATAACAAAACTCAAGCAAAGTACATGGACCTAAAATTATATTTTCTCAAAAAATTTAATGGTAATCAAGGCTTTTGGATCTGTAGAATAATATCATATTCTATTGAACATTCTTTGCCAATATCTTGATTTTGAGAGCCTTTAATGAAATGAAATTCTTCCATAGAAAATTGTTGTGAATATCTCACTTTACGTCGATTTATATGTAAGTGTACAAGACTTTGATATGAACCTCCAATCATTAAATACTGATGCAAGAATTATATTGTATTCATACTAACATTTATTATGTACCATTTCTCAACACTAACTTTTCATTTAGATGAAGAAAAAAATTAAAGCTGGTGATTGGGATTAAATGGTTAAACTTAACGAGCTAATCTAAATAAATCTAAAAAATGTTAATGCTGAACTTGGAAGTTTAAAATTTTTTCTTTACTTCAACTCGAACAAACTTAAAAAATTCAAATTAAGCCCGAACCTAAATTGGCTTAGCCCGAATACTCAAATTTCTTTTTATTATTAATAAAATAAATTTAAAAAAGATAAAAATTAAAAATCTTAAAAGAATAAAATAAAATAAAATAAATTTAATAATTTAAATATTTGGATATATATTTATATATTTTAAATATGATTCGAGTAGGTTTGGCC